TCCTGCTAATCAGACGGAAGAAAACATTGTTTCAAGGCACTGTCATTGGATAACAACAGTGGGGAACTTTCTCTTTTTATGGCAGTAGGCATTAGTTTTCAGTCAAGTTTGAATTTTTCCTAAAAGTAAATACTTTCACATAAATTTTTTGCTTAAAAATAAAAGAAATCAAGCTAATGATTACATAAAACAAAATTAATGGCAGAAACCTGCGTATGAGTCATCTATATTACCAATGTGAAAATCTTCAGTATTTATGCCCATCAGCTGCTCTAGCACCCTAAAGCAGGACCTGTTGTTTCAAACACAGATTCTTCACAGCAGTCAGAGGACTCAAACGGGACTTCAGAGTTCTGGGAATGGTGGTGAAGGGTCTGGGAGCCCAGGTGGTTTTCTCCTCAATCTTGCCTGTGAGGGGAAAGGACAGGAGGAGGAGTAGACGAATTTTCCAAGTTAACAGCTGGCTGCGCCGCTGGTGTTGGCAACAGGGCTTTGGTTTCTATGACCATGGGACCCTGTTTGAAGATCAACAGCTGATGGGGAGAGACGGGATCCACCTTACCAAGCGGGGCACGCGCGTCTTTGCCAACAGATTGGCCAGCCTGGTAAGGAGGGCTTTAAACTAGGCAAGATGGGGGAAGGGGAGTGGTATAGTGGCAGGGGAGTCAGTAAAACACCGTTCAAGTCAGGATGCCTCCAGCGGGTGCATACAACCAGGGGAGACAGCATGCAACATGGCTATGGAGGATCCTCTTGCACCTCTCCTGGGAAGCCTGCATGCTTGACTGGCTCTCTCAAATGCCTGTATACCAATGCACGCAGCATGGGGAATAAGGTGCCCAGCAACAGGACCAGAGGCAATGGGCAGAAACTGAACCACAGGAAGTTCCATCTGAACCTGAGAAAAAACTTCTTCACTGTGAGGGTGACAGAGCATTGGAACAGGTTGCCCAGAGGGGTGGTGGAGTCTCCTTCGCTGGAGATATTCAAAACCCGTCTGGATGTGATCCTGGGCAATATGCTCTAGGTGACCCTGCTTGAGCAGGGAGGTTGGACTAGATGATCTCCAGAGGTACCTTCCAACCTAAACGATTCTGTGATTCTGTGATTCTGTGATTTTTAAAGGGAAATTTTGAATCTCTTGTTAGAAACCTGCCTAGAAAGTCCTCTAGGAAGCTGCTTCATGCTGTGGAACCTCAGCAGCACGGTCAGGCTACACTCTTCCCAGCTATATGGCTCCTTTGTGCCTTGTGCATGGCAGTGCTCTCCCAGCCACCTCCACACCTCTGCTTTTGCCCAGCCCTGGGAGCAGCACCGCAAGTGGGGCCCATCAAGAACACACTTGGCCAAATCAGGTGCCAGAGTAGGCCAGCAGCCCAGCTCATAGTACTTGCAGCAGATCTCCTTGGGACAGCCAAGAAGTGGCCTGGGCTCAGTCCCCCTCGCCATGGCCCTGCAGCCCCTTACAGCCTGGTGGGGACCTTCCATGGTCCCCCTGGACCTGTCTTGCACCACCCTGCTCACACTGGCGTGATCTGTCCCCTGCCACAGCATCACTGGCACTTTCTCTCTGGGAGCAGCAGGTCCTGCCCAGCTTGCACCCTGTGGTGGCTCGGCCTCGTGCTGCTGCCTGGCTATGTCTGTGCCCAGCCTGGCTCCAGCTCTGCAGCCCCAGCAGCACCACCTAGCAACTCCTTGCAGGGCCCACCACCAATGCCAAGTCCCTGTGGGGACCAGAAACTTGGCACAGGCCCATCAGGGCCCATGTGGAAGTGCCCATTCCTGGAAGGATGGCATTCCATGAAGGGGCTGGCCAGGACCCCTCACTCCCAGGGGTACCCCATCCCGCACTGGGTGGGGGATCTGGCAGAATTTTCCCTCACACCCCAGCACCCTTTCCCAGGTAGGCCTGGTCCTGCCCAGCCCCTCTGCACTGCCCTGGATCCTCCTGCTGGTGCAACGTGTGGGCCTCGGGCATTAAACACAAATGCGTGCCCACACGCACACCCACATGCACACTGTATATCTGATCTGTATGCACAGATCACATGATCAGGACTTGGTCGATGGTCTCTGTCTTTCTCACTCTCCTCAGCCGTGCAGGGAGCGGCGTGGTCAGCTAGAACCCGCCAGCCCCATGCGCGAGGACACAGTGACTCACGGCCAGAGGAACAGTGTGGGAATTTGACCCATGTTGCTCTAAGCAAGGAGGTGAGTACTGCACCTCACACCAGGCTGCTCTTTTAGCCCCATACAGCCAACTTCATGGCCCCACCAGCCCGACCAGGGCTGTTGGAGCCTTGGAGCTGCAGTGCAGCGTCAGTGAAGGCTTGGCAGGGTGCCTCTGGGCTGGGGGAGGGTTGCTGGGGACACCATTGCCTTTGGAGTGGCCTGGCAGCATGCTGAGGCTACAGCTGGGGTCCCACAGGGGCCTGTGTGGGGCCTTGGGGTGTCTCATGGCTGTGTTCCTAGGCTGCACTCCGTGATGCCAGTGATGACTGGCTCTCACAGCCCCATATGTCCTCTGCAGCACACTGCAGGGTAACAGATCTCCTAAGGCAGGAAGGTGGCAAGATGCCTTTTCTATGGGCAGCACCCTGCGCTCACCTTGCTGGAGCGCAGGTGGTACGTGTACCTGTGTAAAAGGAGCAAATACTGGTTTGCTGCATGGGCTGAGGGTTTGCTCACTGTGGCAAGAGTGGAGACAAACCTGAGTAACCTGGTCTGACCTGCTAGCTGACCCCACTTTGAGTGGGAGGTTGGACATGAAACCTCCTGAATTATGAACTTGGACTAGCTTTAAAAAGAACAAATATACAGGAAGGGAGAAAAAGGAGCTTTTTTTGTTATGGTTCATGCAATTTATTCTCAGTGCTTACCCGTGGATGAGGTGAATTGTTCCCTGGAACTGGTTCTCTCTCTCTCCATGAGCTGTGAATTTAGATACTCAAATGAAAAGGTTTCCCTTTTGTTGGTAGGTATGGATCACATGAATCCTGCCTCTAATTTTGGATGAGATGGTATGACGTCTGTGACCATAAGAACAGAATTAACCTCTGCTGCTGCCCCTCTTTCTGCAGAGCAGAGGAAGATTCCACTTTTAATAATGGTGACTCAACAAAGTGTCTAACACTGATACATGCTTGCTGCATTTGGTACAATAGACAGCTGCCCACCGTCTTCTCATAAACTGTTCACATATCAGCAGTGCTGGATTCTCACAGCAGTTGCTTCTTGCCCATCCAAAGGACGACACAGTGAATAGGCTCATTCAAACCTTCCCCTCTCTGGGCAGGTTCCACCTTTGGTGGCCAACAAACAGTAAAATATCACAGTCCTCAGGCCACTCAGTTTTATTATCAATATGATGTGCCGTTACCATCACTCAGTGTTCATGCTTGGAAGTCTCTGCAGCTCCTGAGGTCCTAGACCAGCACATCAGCAGAGTGCCCAAACCTTAACTACAAGATTGCCACAGAGAACAGGCAGTCCTCTCTTTTTCTCTCACGGGATGGTATGTATGCCTACCATCCTCTGGAACTGCATTTCTTGGCTGCCCTTTTCAGAGCTTCTTTCACCTCTGTGTTTCTCAAGCTGTATATAAAGGGGTTGGTCAGGGGCTCACAACAGTGTGGAAGAGGGATAACATTTTGTTATGGTGTCTGATGGTGCTTAGGTTTGGTGACAGATACACAAGGGGTACATACTCATAGAAAATTGTCACCGCAGTGAGGTGAGAGGAACAGGTGGAAAATACCTTTTTCAGCTCTGTGGTAGAAGGGATTTTCAGGATGGTCACGATGACATGAATGAGGCCATCTCATCAACGTGTATAAGTATCTGAAGGGGGAGTGTCAAGAGGATGAGGCCAGCCTCTTCTCCGTGGTGCCCAGCAACAGGACAAGAGGCAATGGGCAGAAACTGAACCACAGGAAGTTCCACCTGAACCTGAGAAAAAACTTCTTGACTGTGAGGGTGACAGAGCACTGGAACAGGTTGCCCAGAGGGGTAGTGGAGTCTCCTTCCCTGGAGATATTCAAAACCCGTCTGGATGTGATCCTGGGCAATATGCTCTAGGTGCCCCTGCTGGAGCAGGGAGGTTGGACTAGATGATCTCCAGAGGGCCCTGCCAACCTAAACGATTCTGTGATTCTGTAATGTAGGATATCATAGTTAATGCAGTAGGAGGCAGCATCAATATAGCAGCCACAGAGCTGATGATTAACCCTAACCAGTAGTTTTTAAACCACAGAATAGGTTTGTTATCTATGATGATTCACAGAACAAGTGGTTGAATTCTTTGGAACGCTTTCAGAGAAACAAGGTGGAGGTCTAAATATAGGTCCCTAAACCCATACCAGACACCCTTGGGCATCCTTCCTGAACTCCAGCCTCAGCTCTACAAAAGCACAGGTCTCTTGTTTGTCCCATATCATAGCTGGCAGTCTCAAGTCAATGACTTCGATTCCTTAAGTGAATCTAAACTGGCATTAGGCACCTGACTCACTTCCTCACCCTTCAGCCTGATGTTAGTTGCAAGGTGATGGTAGAAGAAACCACGGCTTTAGTAAGAGATGTACAATCAAAAAAAAAAAAAGAAACACACAGAACAGAACACTAAGACTAATGCATTTTAGAGATGCTCATTTGTTCTGAAGGGAGACTGCAGTGACTGTGCATTTATATTATGGGCCTTCATTTAGTTAATCCTCATCAAGGTGCCATTTGCCACAGCCAGGAGATCCTCAGGGTGCTGGCAGATATACACACTCCTTCTGGCATCCAGGCAGAAGACAGTTTTTCCTCGAAAATGCTAGATGCCTATGTGTGAGCAACTAAATCCATCCAAAGTGCCTAAAAGAAAGGGTCATAAATCTCACCCAGATTGGTTCCACCACCTTTGGGAGCTGTCCTCAGGTTGAGTTCCCAAGGCTAGTGTCTCTGGCTTGCTATGTACAGTGCTGTATGGAGGAGTTGAATTCAAAGGTAAGTCACTCCAGAAGACAGCCAAAGTAGGAGCTGACATCTACATGGTTGAACTATCAGGATGTATGGGATGGAGTGTGACCACGATCTGAAGAAGCCAATGCTGAAATAGCCAAAAGGCAAAGGAAATAGTAGGTTATTTCTTATTACGGAGGGAAAGCTCCCTGCAAGATGATCATGACTTTGAGGAGACAGAAATAACGTCTTCCTCATTTTCTGTGTTTCGTAGAACTGTCAACTGTTATTGGCTGATGTATCCTGTTAGCAGCAGTGGATATAAGATGAAAAGCCATGCTGAAAGAAGGAAGAACACCTTGGGAAAAACCTTGAAAAGGGAAATGTTTTCCAAGCAGCTTGACTTACTGTAATTCCTCCTGAGGATATTCAGAGAAATGGGAGAAAGAAGTGTTGCACTGACCTTCAAGGAAGGGATGAAAGGAACTGTGGTTCTATCAGCTTAATTTCAGGTCCTGAGGAGATGCTAGAAAAAAATCAGAGACAGAAGCAGCTAGCAAATACTGAGGAGGAATAATGTGATGAACCACAGCCAGCAAGGATTTGTCCTGTCAAAGCTCTTCCAGAGAGGAAAGCAAGTGTTGGAAAAATGGAGGAACAGAGATAGGCTTCCCTTCTCCTTATCTTTGACCTCAACAGTGTAGATGCCTACCTTCAATCATGTTGTTTCAACTCCCTTGATAGTCGGTAGTGAGAAACAGACGTAATTCATCTGTAAGGCATAATTCATCCTGCCTTGAAGCTGATATTTAGAAGAATAACACAGTCTGTCTTCAGTAAAATGAACTGTATTCAGAAATCTCTCTTTTCACTCATTTGTGAAAATGGGAATGTACAGTACCAGCTGAGACATGGGCATCTGCAGTTTGGGAAAATGAATCCTGACTCATTAGTTGAAATAACTAACTTAAAAGGTGGATTTCAGTTGCAGCTCTGGGCATTGCATTTAGGGGATTGATTCTGTTCTGTAGCCCTGTACCCACAGTGCCTGCTGAGATGCCTCAGGGTACCTGAAAGCTCTGTACAAGCAGTGACTGGAGGCCAGGGAGGATTTGTGTAGGTGTTAGAAGTGGCTGTAGATGCTGATGTTTGTGTAAAAGATTTCTCTCTCCCTTCATTCAAATGGCTACCTCACTGGACTCCTGCACAGATCAGGGACTGCATTCCTTTATCCCCACATCTGCTCCTGGTGCCTCACAAGATGCCCTAGACAATCCTGCCTGGCCTCCAGCTGTCACTCCAAAGGACATAGGTTACCCACTGGCCCTGGGTCATATCTACCAGCCCACTGCAGATGGCTCAAGCCTGCAAATTAGCAATACTCACAGAAATGATTGTGTGTGTGTGTATGTATGTGCATGCATGTATGCCTTTATGTGTGAACATCAGTGATAAAATTCTCCATACACATCTCCTCAGCTAATCTAAATTGTTCCACAATATGACTCAGAAAATAAGGCAGCTTTAAAACTTTATGGTTTGGAATATGTTTCTACCTTCCAGAGAGATTCTCCAAAGTCCCTGCACAACCTTCCCTCATGCAGCTGTTTTCCTTTTAGGAATAGCCTGTCAGGCACTGTCCCTCCCACAGTACTAGGTAACTTGCAGTGACCACTGTAACTGGCACAAAATTATCTGCTTCCTGAAATATGCATTAGGTCATCTGGGGCCGAGCTCAGCTCTTTTACACTGCAGACATTACCTGCTATATCTGCTAATTGCCATATTCCAATACTGCTGATGCTGTCATCCGGGGGGTGGGGAAGAGTGTTTTGTTCTCTTTTCTTTCTTTCTGCTTACTTTATTGATTTTAGATATTTCTTCTTCCAGGATTCATCTCAGTGAGGTGGAGATGTTCCACAGCTGGGGACAAGTGTATGGCCCTATCAGAAGGGACAGATTAGTTCCCCAGCTAGTGTAAATATCACTTTTGATTCACAGGCACGAGGTCACTTTCATCAGTGGTGGAATCTACATGCTCTGAAAAAATGAGAACTTCTTCTCATTTCATTCCTCGTGCCTCCAATATAGGGAATGATACAAATCCCCAGCTGAGGGCCATGTTAGTGGTAATGTAATGGCAAGAGTAGGAAATTCTTTTTGGACAAAAATTCAATCTCTCTCCACTCCACCTTGCTTCAGCTGCCTGTATGCTTTTTGACTCTTTCTCCAAGAAGTCCTTTAGGAAGCCTCCTCCCCAGTTGCCCCTTTATTTAGCGGGTGAATTGAACCACTTGATTATCCCCTTGCCACGCTCCCCTCTCAGTGATCCTAGTGCAACCAAAGTTTCCATTTCTCTCCATGTGAGTGTTCTAGGGCAAAAACATTCCCCATCCACCTGCACCACAAATATCCCATGACACCCACATTACCGTCTTCCCCATCCTCTCCATCACCATGCACAATTAAAGACAAGTATGACCATATCATAAATGACACCAATTTTTCTGCACCTAGTAAAGGACCAGTATCATCACTTCCATCACCTTTAAGAAATCCTGTCCCAGTTTCTTTTCTTTTCTTTTTTCCCCAGAAGACACAGACCTCACCTTATCCTTGAATTGCTGTAGATGGGTAAATATTAAAGCACTTCTGTACTCAAGAGTTGGGGCACATCTGACTACATGACATTTCTCAGTCTGAGCTAGTCCCCCAGGACTCCTAGACTGTTCAGTGTTGAGTTAGGCCATACACTGAATCTTGTCTGGGGTATGAATCAGCTCATTCTAAGGTCAATACCTGAAACAGCTCAGATGCTCCCTAAAAGCAACTACATTTATTGAATATGAGGGGAACCAGCAATAGTTAGGTCAGATACAGAATTCCACTTTCATTTACCCATGTGTTAGCTGAGATGAATCCTATTTTGAGGTTCCCTGCATAAGAAGTGACAAATGAGAATAGTTTGAGGATGATGCTTACCTCTTCAGTAAAGAGGACTGGGCTCCTCAGCTGAAGGCCCTGTCTCTCCTCTGTCTTCAGAAGCTGTTTTCTACATCTATACAGCTTTCTCTGGAGGAGAGAGAAAATAGAGCAAGCAATGGTTCTGCATGAATTACTGTTCTTCCTTTTTTGTTTTAGACAGCCCAAAGGGCTCTTCACTTCTGTAGCCTTCATTGTTCCCAGTTGCCTGAGTGTCCTCTCACCTAGAAATGAGCCTAGAGAGCGATTCCTGTGTTTGCTCTCAACACAGCATACAAACCTGGCCTCCTGCATGCAGACTGCTATCCCCAGAGGACATTTACCTCCTTTCATCCTCCAGATAAAGCATAATTGCTCTACCTGGCTCAGGTCTAATCCAGCTCTCCTTTAGGCTTTCCATGTGGAAACCTAGGCATCCTCTCTAAACTTAGTTCTTGACTTGCCCTGCTGGTACAGATCTCAGAGACAAGATAAACTCCAGAGGGTGACCTGAGGGCCCCAGAGGGCACTAATTAGCCTTAATGATCCTAACCAAACTCACCCGGGAACTCTACCCACACCCTTTGCCCATGGCTCCGTTTAAGCTCATTTGGAGGGTGGGTCTTTAGTCCCAACCTGAGCTATATCACAGGAGTGATATATATATCACTGTATATCACTGTAGCTCAGGCACAGCTATGCCCATACCTGGCTATGGATCCCATTGATCTGGACCCTGATCCACACACTGACTTCCCAACTTGACCACAGACCTGCCTGGTGATCACTGGACTGGACCTCACCCTGGTTATAGTCATTGGGCCTGATTCTGACCTGCGAACTGGATTCTGTAACCTCAGACCTGCCTCATCACCATGAACTTGCTGGATGATCTGGACTCAGCTGAACCTGGCTACCATCTCCAGTCCTGCTTGCCTTGCTTGGGTACTGTGGGGCTAGAGACCCTGGCCAGCAAGGCCCTTACCCTGTCAGTTGTGTTATCGTGCTCAGGTTCCTGTCTCTTAGAGGGTAGCTGGTCCTCTTTACTCCTCTGACAATCTGCACTCCTCCACATATCTGCATTTTTATGTGGCCTTTCCATAAGGAGCTGTACCCTCCTCTTCCAATTCTTTTTCTCTAGGATACTTTTTGCTATGACCATACCATGCTATCTATCTAACCCTAAAGTTAAGTGTGGTTAGTGTACTCCCTTGCCCAAAGTCTTCCCTATAAATGACTTCTCTCAAGACATGCTCCAGGTAGGTTCAGACATGCTACTGGTAGGTTTAGAGATGAAATGTGCTTCTGGCCCAAGTGTTCACTCACAGCATCCAATAAGAGGTGCTTGCAGCCAAGTGCTCTTCGGCACCAACGCTGGCCCTGGCATGCGTATTCCAGACCCACAGCAATTGCACTTCCATCCTTCCTCTCTCTACTGAAATTAACACCATGCCTACTGGCATGATCGCTAATGAAACATGCTTTTGGATTGCCTGTTCATGCACCAGAACCACTAAAAAATGCTTACTTATAATCTCTGCTGGGATCCTATCTTGGCGCTGGCATGCCTATTCCAGCCCCACAGCACCTTCACCTCTGCACTTCCTCTTTCCACCCGAACTGACACCATGCCTACTAGTTGGTTCACAGGTGAAATACACTTCTGGGCCAAGCTTTCGCTCATGACAACCACTAACAAGTGCTCACAGCCAAGTTATCTTTTTTTCTTAGAAAATGGAACAGATCCAGACCAATGCAAAAATGCTGCAATTCAAACCCCAGAGAGGGAAGGTGGAGCAAAGGCATCCTTGCACAACCCCTGGACAGGCCGAGAAACCCTGCAAAAGGAGGGGACAGTGGAGCCCCAGGAGGGAGCACAGGGGTCAGAGTCACCCTTCAGCTGAGCTCGGCAACCCTGGATTAAGCACATCAGGCTCTGCCCTGAGCAGGGCTCTGAAGAGGAAGACCTTTAGGCAGGAGTCTCCCTTGCCCTGCCAGCCGTGGACAGAAACGCAGGAAACACGTGGGGCCAGAGCATGAGCAGGAGTGACAGGAAATCTCCACTCTCCCTCTGGCCCTTCCCTGTCCTCTGCCTTTGTGCCCAGCTCCCCTCCAACCCCCTCCCTTCCTGTGCTCATTCCAGGCTCAGAGAGAAGGTAGAGGAGGGACTTCAGACCCTGCATCCATCCCAGGGAGCCCAGCTGTTGGACAGCCCCCACCCCAGCTCTAGCCAGCACTGTCTTCACACCACCAGAAGAGCTCAGCTCCCCAGGGTCCCCCTCCATTGAAGTCCTGAAGTTCACTGGCAGTTTGCGCAGCCAGGCTCAGAAGAGGAGCACACTCGCACAGAGGACAGGTGGAAAGAGGATTTAAGAGGTATGCTGCACAGCATGTGGGGGATGAAGCTCAGGGCTCAGGCAGATGAGTGCTGACCAGCACCGTGTTCTCCTGTGACCAGCCCCTTTTGTCCCCGTTGGCCTCCAGCCACTCTCCTGGTGCCTGATGGCCTCCTCTTCACTGGCCCAGGCCTCGACCCTCTCCTGCTGGCTCTTGGTGATGGCCTGGGAGACCTTCTCGGCAGATGCAGGCCAGGCTGGGCACGTGCTGTCCCCCCAGGGCTTGGTGCAAGGGCACACGGGAGGCCTTCTCGACCTCTGGCTCCTGGCACAGGTTTTCCTTTGGCCGATGCCCGTAGCTCTGTCCCGCTGCCGATCTCCTGCTGGAGAAGCCAGACTCCAGCTTCTGCGTAACCTTCCTGCAGCTCCAGCCTGGTGCCTCAGCCGCTGGCCCCGGCCCGCTCCCTGCCTTGCTGGGCACCAGGGCTTTCTGGCTGGGAGCAGTCCCCAGGCAAGCTGCCCTCCGCCCTTTGCCAGGCACTGCTCTCTGGGATTGTGACACTAGGTCAGGAGAAGTGCCAAGCCGGACCTTGCAGTATTTTTTGACACATGCCAGCTGATCTGGTCCTGCGGGAAGGGGGTCTGCCTGTGGGTCCAAGAAGCACAGGTGGGCAGGGTGGATTCTGCAGGAGAAGCTGGATGTGGAGCTCTGCTTGATGCTTTTTGGGGGCTGATCGTGGTGCCTGGGGGGCAAACCAGCCCAGCAATTTTGCAAGCCCCACTTGTGCTGGAGCCTCTTTGCCCAGATGTGGAGCTCCAGGGCCTCCTGGACCTCCTTGGGCAGCAACAGGGCCTCCGGCATTTAGATGTAGATGGTGACAATGCCAGAGTGCAGCAGCATGGGGGACATCAGCCAGCCAGCAGACACCACATGGGGCGTGCGCAGGCCCTGCAGGGATGCCAGGTACCAGTGCTCCATGGGCAGATCCTAATCGTGGAGATCGTCCAGCTGCTCAAAGGAGATAACGATGCTGTCCAGCTTTAGGACATCCTCCCCAGCTCCATGGAGTTAGGGAAACAATAGCTGGGAGAGGAGACGCAGCTTTTCCTCGAATCGCCCTACCAAGGTGGGGACGATTCCCAGCCTGGTCTCTAGCTCTTTGCCAGGGCACTGATCTCAGTTGCCCCAGTAGCCAGGAGCAGGAGGAAGCTGGGGCTGAGGCAGAGGAGCCAGCTGCTGCCCCAGAGGAGGGAGAACCAGCTGTGCAGAGCCAGCCCAACAGCACCCAGTGCAGCAGGGAGATGGGGACCAAGGCTGAAGAGCAGATGGAGCCTGTAGGAGCTGCCCTTGTCTCCACACACAGCTCTTTGTGGCTGCTGTCCCCTCAGGCCTGGGGACAGTGCCAGGATGGGGACCATGAGGTCACTGCCATGTCAGCACTTTGAGGCCTTCCAGCGCAGCAGAAACACCCAGCAGAGGGGACAGCTGTGGGTGGGGGAGGCAGGTGAAGGGCACCCACCCAGGACATGCTAGAAAGCATCTGCTAGACCGATGGGAGTGGAGGATGGACAGGGGCTAAGGCTACCAAGAAGGACACTGCGGACAGGGGCACAACACCCCCAACACATCCCATGGGGCTCCAGAATAAGCAACTGTAGACCAGGCTGGGCTGGGCCTCCTTGAACTCGGCCCCATCTCCAGCTCCCCGCTTTACTGGCGGAGTAGCCAGCAG